TTGAACGATAGTTTGTGGTGATGTTACTTATGAAAAAGAGAAATATATAGCTCAGTGGACCTAATCTAGTAAAATATTTTTTTAAATTGTTCTATACAGAAGAATATGGCCTGTCCTTCAGTAGAGACGTTAAGTCGGCTCTTCCTATGGGCTTGTATGACAAACTCATCCTACAAATAGCAAGATGAAGCACTTCAGGACCTACGTGGTGTCATGTGATATTACGCATGCTGTATGATATTTTAAAGGATTTGGTTTCAATGCGGCATCACGCTGTGATTCACTGCTGTGCTGTGGAATATTTAACTAAAATAAAAAAAACACATCATTTCATAAAAGACAAAAATGGAAAATTATTATTCCACTCACAAGCGGCTTGCCAGTGTGATTTCCCCATCTCCCCCCCCCTTTCAAAAATACAATCAAAAAGCAGCAGTCTATTGCTCAAATTACAATTTTTTTTTACAACTTCAACAGGAAATAAAGGTATGCATGGCCACTGCGAATCCGAAGTTATTGTGTCTCACAATATTTTTTCGCGAGTTAAATAATTTCACTTGTGCATTCCAAATGAAGCTCAGGTTTTTCTATTTGAACATTTTTTTAATGATCTCTCTCAAGGGAACGACTGTACAGTTTATTAGGCGATGATTTATTTCACATTGCTTTGCACGCACGCAAGAGTGGCGATCATAGCCGATGACCCAAGTTCAGTAAATAACCATAGCTAACATCAGCGGCGAGTAATATGTGAACCAGTCCTGGGCTTCACCGAGATAAACTCGGCCATTAATAAGTACCTGGTGTTGAGTGTAAACATCAGCATCGGAGAGACACAGGCAGCCGGGCATTGTCCACCTTCTTGACCCCGTGCCATCCTTAATAGGTGTTCAGTAAATCGCACTTGCCCCAGCAATCTGTATGGCTACACAGGGCAGCTTCGTCTTAGTGTGGGCGTGCATACGTTCAAATGTACGCACGTGGAGCAAAGAGCATGGCCTAGTCCAGGGGTCGGCGACCCGTGGCTCCGGAGCCGCACGTGGCTCTTTAAGGCACCGCTACATGACTCGTTATTTCATAAAGGACCACAGTTTCGTATTCACGTGCATTGCAGCTCTTTAAACATTAAGGCTTTTTACCGAATTCGAAAAAAAATTCTCCTCTGGTTATTTTTGTTTGCTGACCCCTGACCTAATCACTACTGTGGTGAAGAGAAATCGGCCGACGGTGTTTTTCTGTGTTGACAATACAAGCAGGCTTCGGTTAGGACCATGTTCGAAGCAGGATGACCTCCAATGTTTAAATACAGTATTGGGAAGAGCATGAACTTAGGTGGTGGGGTTTGCGAATGGAATAAATTACGGTGGCGATGACTTAAGAAAAGCAGAAAATTATTGGACACATGAAAAACGTACACGTGCACTTAATTGTCAATCCACTGCTGGATGAGGGCCTCCCCCGCACCATGTGGGTCGTGGTGGCTATTAGACCATACTTCATCACGCTGGTCAGTGTGCGTGGCTGAAGGCGGGGGAGCACACGTAGTCTACAGAAGTAAAAGAACGATTAATTTTGCTGATCTGCCCTCTGCTGCCCACCAAGTAGCCCCGCAGCCTCTGGCAACCCGTCATGCGTGGTGTTCGCCTATCCCAGCGCCACACCTGGGTTCAACCCCAAGACCGGGGCCATTCCAGCCAATTTGGTCGCACGCGACTCAATAAAACGAATCAATTAAAAAAATAACCACTCCTGACCCTAAAGAGTTCGGTTTATTACCTAACTTCCCTGGCAACTTTTTTAGTTTAAATCACAAGGGTTTTTTATATATTTATTTATATAAAATATTTTCAAAAAACACATTCTCTCCCACCAAAGGCAAACTCCCACACGCGAGCCAAGAAAGGCTCCCAATGCCATCAATCACCTCACGTGGTCATTCGTGCACAGCCAAGTATGACGAACATTGTTAACTGCTCTCCACGATAGAGAATTTGAAAAATAAATAAATACGTGGATGTATGGGGGATGGCACAACTGGAGCTCCAAAATCCCACATTCTCCAAAAGTCTTTAAGCATCCGCCATCGAGTAAAGTCTAGTTATTTTTGCGTCTGATTCTTTCCAAAATCGGTTCGGATGAGAATATTTAAAAAAATTCAGCCCGGGCTACTGTCAGCATCAGATAAGTGGGTGACGACAACCTTCACTTGGTCCACCTGTGCAGTTACTTCCACATGCGAACCAATTGTCACTCGCTCGGCAAGAAGAGTAACTTAAAACGCTGAGAGAGGCCCTTGTCAAGGCCACTTAAACCAGAAGAACAGGCCCCAAAACTACATATGGACAAAATTAACATCGCAGCCTCACCCAATGGCATCACGTGGCTTTCAAGCTTGGATATAGAAATGTAGGTTGCTGTACACTAACTTCCATAAGCAAGAAGAAGAAAACTGCCCCCATTTCGGGTGTTTACAAAGTGCTGGCAATTCACACACGTGCCGTTTTAGATCTCTGCAAAGGTCACACACGCGGCGAATGGTGTGAACAAACGCCAGAGCTGTATGAACATTTTGCTTTGCGTTTCCTCTCTGCAGATGGTGGATGTCACAGCAGGAAGACCGATACCCAGTCAGAAATTTCGTCACCGGGCGTCGACACTGACGAATATATAAATAAAAAAATCCTGAAAATGTCACACATTGGGAATGGTGTAAACAACTCTAAGCGTTACATTTGGGCTTTTTTTATCACACACACACACACGGCTGTGGTAAAATCAGTTCGAAAATATGCAGTTCGGCTTCGTACTTATTTGCCGTGCAAATGTCATCATCGTCATCGTCAGCCATGACCCAGACGCTGGTCAAGGACCACCCCCCTGCCCCCCCCCAAAAAAAACCCGTCGCCGTATCTCACGGTCGGACGCAAAAATCCATCTGTAGCACTTGCGCACGAGCAGCTGATATCATCGCTCCATCCTTGCGGTGGGTGCCCTCTTCGGTGTGTGTTCTCATCCTTGGCTGCCAGCAGCAACAGCCACACGCCGTTTTGTCAAAACGGCCCATCTTTTTAAATGTGGTATGTGAAGACCCTCCGCACACAGAACAGTATTTGCATTGAACATTTGTGGAATGCCCTAAACAGAGTCAACAGTATCTATGGTTTCAATTATCCAATAACATTTAATTAACCACAGTCCTATCACCATCTAACCCCTTTTCAATGACCTTACAACAACCGTATCACCATAGATCGTACTCGAATTGTAAATGTAGTGGGTTTACTCTCCAACACACCGTTGTGCTGAAGTAATAACTAATTGGCTAGCTTTGTTTACGCGACAAACCTTACTAATTGGCTGTGTCAGGTAGTGGCGGGTTTAACGACACATATATTATGGATCTTATCACCATAAATGTGGCTGATCCTATCATATCTCAGAAGCCACGCAGAGTTGAGGCTGCTTCGTGTTTAAATGGGTGGCAACCAGGGCTTGCCAGGTGTTGTAGACATGGGTTAGAATGGTTGGCTACGCACCTCTGATTAGCACGGTCGGCTACATACGGTCACCAACCCTCTGGGTACTCCAATTTCCTCCCACATGCCCAAACACCCATTCATATTATTGGCCAATGATCCCAATTGCAGGAGATGACCCTCCTGTAAAAGTATATTAATACTCTGTTAGTTAGCCTTTTTTCTGGGTATGTAATAATCATTACAATTCCCGCACATACCAACCAAGACTGAAATCACATGTGTTTGCTTCAGGGCAACTCATCCTCCACTGTCACCATATCTGGCTCGTAATTATCCTCACCAAACCAATCTCTGCACGCATAGAGAACCTAGCATCACCCAAGAGGCCTCCCCCATATGTTTACAGCGCCGAACAGTTATGGTAAAACGAGTGATTTTCACATTCTAATTTAATGCAATGTAAGTTGACAATTTGAAGGAATGGAAACTGGGATGATGTGCTGGGTCAAAAATCTGGCAGCCCACTTCACCTATCGGGAAAAGATCCCTGTAAAAAATGACGGACAAAACAACAGCCAAATCGCTGCTATTATTCTGCCAATTAGCATGAACAAAAACTGCCAGAATGGTATTTTATTCCGACTCAATTATTTACACCTTGATCTTCCTTTGAACGAGAGACTTCTTTTCTCAATAGGCTTCTCACAAAATGTACAGCTGTTTTGGTCTATCCACTGCTGGATGACGACCCCCCCCCCCCCCACGCCACGCAAGTCGTGGGGGTTCATAAAAATTTGCACTTGAACTGCCCAGGCTAAAAAAAAAATGTTTACAAAAATCTAGGCAAGTTTCATTTAAAACAAATTTGCAAATAAAATTGAAATGCCCTTGCCAATTACTCAATTGGGATTGCTACGGAGCAATCACGATCCCTTACTGGCAGACTGCTGTCCGCTTTTGCAGGCCAGGCGCCGAGTTACCACCCTGCGCCGCGCAGGGGACAGCTGCTACTGGGGGTGCCCTTGCAAATGTTTGAGGGACAGTGTGTTGTCTTGCTGTGGTCTAGAGCTGTTTCTGTTGTTGTTGTTGTTTTGCTGCCTTGGCAAAGCTTAAATTTAGTGTAGAACAATCATGCAGGAATTGATGTACTTTTGCATTCTTGTACTTGTATATTCAAATTATAATTTTTTTTCTAACATGCTTACCGTTCCTATACTTTGCAATCCTATCGTGTTTTTGTATTGTTTGTTATGGCGACTTTATTACCCGCCTCGACTGGACATCTGTGAAAAAGAGCTTAATAGCTCATCGGATTCCTCCAGTATAAATAAAGATTCTGATTCTGAAAGACATTTCTCTCTCGGGAGGAATTTTCGATTTTAAAATGTGTTGAGACGAGATGTCTTATCACGATCTCCGAGATGCCGCGGCATTTAGGAGGGTGCAATATCCAAACACAAATCATTACGATTGTCGTTATCGTCATTATCACAGCTATGCTATTGTGTGACGGTGCAGCACCTGGTGGCCTCCTGCTGCGGTAGAGCGCAGCTCGGGACGCAGAACATGACTCCGAAGTTGACCACGGACTCGCAGCCGTGCTTCTCCAGCTGCTTCTTGAGCGGCTTCTCCATCTCGGCCCAGCGCATCTGCCGATGCCGAGTCCGGTACCACAGTCCGAAGAGCAGCACCTGCAGTGGCGACGGCGGCGACGACGACGACAATAACGCGCCGCGCACAAATGTCACGATTTACGTTCGCCGTCTTTGACCGCGGGAAGAACGCCGGTCGGCGCACTGTGGACTTCAAATCCAGAAGTCCCCAGTTTTATTTGATCTCTCCCAGAGTGACAGCTGAAACAATGGGCAGGTTTCTTAAACCCCCGCACCTTTCCGTCATCCCAGCAGTATATGGGGGCGCCCATAGTGAGTCGATCAGCAAGGTTAGTAATGCGCGGGTACTCCCCACATCTTCCAGGTTGTTTGGCTGGCATGGAAGAGATCAAATTCCATCCACAGGGGCTCTCAGGAGCTCCTTCTAGTGGAATCGTGCGTGTACTCAAACTAATGTACGATGCAGAGAAGTTATACGCAATCGTGCGACCGATTCCTGCAGGCCTCTAGAGGCGCTAAAAGTGATCATTCAATGAGTCGCGAAGTGGGCGGTGGGTGAAAAGTTACTGCTACTCTTCACTCCCGTGGCCATACCCCGCATGAGTCCTGTAATGTCTCAATCCACCTCACTCCTGCACGTGAAATTATCTCGTCACTCCATCTCCGTGGTGGTCGTGCCGGAGCATAATCTCTCCTGCCAATGTTTTGATTAGTCTAGTTCAGTGGTGGCCAACTGGCGTCTCCCGAGCCATATGCGGCTCTTTAATACACCATGTGGCTCTCTCGAAGGGGTGTCATGTAGAACACACTATCACAGTTTCTAAAAATAATTGTCTCCCGTGCTGTCCCGAAAACTGTCAATACATATACACACACCTATATATCCACTTGGCTCTTCGCAGAACTCATGGGTAATTTTTGGCTTTTGGTCTGTTACAGGCTGGCCATCCCTGATCTAGTCTGTAAACCATAATCCCTTCTAGCGATGTGCACTGATCAAGCCCACTAAATTTTTCAACAGTCAACATTAAGTATGTGATTTGCATCTCTTCCCTGAAACGCGTTTTGCTCAAAGATTGCACTGGGAGGAAAAGGGAGGTTACTTCCCTGTAAGCATCTCAACTGATAATAGCAAAAACAGGTTTAAATGGTTTTGAGACAGCTTTCCATCTTGAAGCACCCACTAACATCACAAGCTTCTGTGAATCACTGAGAACAGTGAGACGGGAGTCTCTGCTGTAAAGATATCCATTGGGACAGGTGGTCCAGTTACAGGATTTTGAAGCACAACTGAACTTACGATGAACGGAAATGAAATAGCCTAATCTTTCAACATTAATAATGGAAAATAGAATTTGTGGCTTCGAATTCTAAAAGCAATGAGAGTTATTATTTCCTTTAAAAACATAGGCATATAAATAACAAATCAAGAAGTCCTTAAAGCTGAAGCTGTTTGGTGCCACCACACAGAATCAGCTTGATTCCTTGTCCAAGTTAGTCTAACATTTAGCCTTTCGCAACCAATATTATCCATAATAAGAGGGGGTTTTTTAACGCCATCTAACCCAAAAAAAACCCGTATTATTCACTTGTCCAAGTCGTTTGCAAAGTCGACACCCTGGTCCGTTCTTCAGCCATCCCACACTCGAGCTCAACAAAACAATTTGTCTTCATCGTGCCCAAATGTCAAAAGCTTCTCTGATCTCAATAAATTACTTGAAATGTAAATAATGTCTACCTAAGCTTTGAACCTTACAACAGCCCACCACCACCACCATTATTCAATTTCTATTTTTTCCAGTCCACTGCAACATTCACTCGTCGTTTAGATAACTACATACATTATTCGGCTGCTAGGTGACGGACATGGAAATTCAGCCCGTGGTTGGCGGAGGTCGGAGAGCAGGGCGGGGGCGGCAAGAGGCCTGGAATTTGGGAGCTGCTGCTGCTGCTTTCAAGTCCGTTGCAGCACAGGTTTGCCACGGGTGTCCTCAAGAACAACAAATCTCGGAGATAAAGGCGCCGGCTTGGCTCCTAAATCAGCATTAAAGTCAAACTCCCTCCGCAATGGCATGGCGAGACGATGGGCGCAAGAGGTGACATTTGAGACCGGGAGTGAAGACAGACGATAATCGTTAAAGCTCACATTTGAAGTTCTATTCGTGTAAGCTATACCCCCCTTGTGATGCAAAGGTCAGAAATTATATCAAGCTCATCAGCACTCGGGGTTGGGTATGGTAACTCAATAACTATAGAATGCCGGTTGTTCAGAGTTTTGCGTGGTGTACTTTTACTTGAGAATTACTGATAATCTGGTTCTGTTCTTCTCTGTTGGTGGTCCCAAGCCAGGAGCAGCAATTCCACATCCCCATGGCAGGGGCAAATGTGTCTATAGGACAACCATTGGTTGAAGTTCGAACACATTGGCACTCATTTTATCAACCACATAGAGATGAGAGGCCGTTTATCTCCATGTGAGATTTCAGCTGACCTCCTTAGGGCAGTGACATGGCCAAGTGGTAGCGCATTCATAGGCTGTTGCAGAGGTTCAAGGTTGGAATCCAGCGGCTGCCCCGATTATAACCGCAGGTGTATTAGCCGTACAAACACTACGTGCCATCTGCTTCACAGTGGATGTCAAACATCCGCTGAAGTCATTATCAAGAGTAAACTAAAAACTAAACAACTTAATTTTACCAGGTAAGACCCACGGAGCTATATAGCTCTTTCAGCAGCAACCTGGCCACAAATGATAGCTCAACAAAGTGGCTCATCACGTGCAATTTTATAGCAGCCAAATAATCAAAACACGTGTTTCTAAATGTGGAGAAAAGAACTGAAGGACCCAGTGAAAAGTCCATGCAACCACGGGGAGAGGGAGCATGAAAACTCCAAATATATAGGCATCAGGGTCAGGATCGAACCCACGACCTTCTGTATACCAGGCGAGGTAGTCAACATCTCGCAACCGTGGCACGAGGCCGTTGTGTGCCGGCGTCAGGATCCACATTTGCACTCGTTCAAAAATGTGCCACAAATTACACAATTGAGATTGTACATAGCGAAAATCGCCCCCTACTGGCAGCCTAATGCCCCAGGTCAATCTTGCAAATAAGACACCTCCTGGTCTCTTGAGCTCTAACCTAGGTAAACTAAATAAACTTGAAAGTTTAACTCAAGGGGAAATAAGTACATTTTTTACTCTATTACAAAGTCATTAATTATTGAGTCCTTACATTATGAAATATTGTAGGCCATCCTGAAATAAAATAGGAACCGCCATCCTTCGTTGATGATCAGAGAAAATTAATTACTGACCTTTTATTTATTAACTTGCGTGCAATCACCCAAGCGGCAAACGCGTTATTTATACGCGTGCCACGTGCACAATGTGCGACCCACACATTTCTGAAAACTCAAAAAACGATTGCAATTCCGTTCCGCTGACGTGTGGCACATCTCCGTGCGCAAGCGTGCACAGGAGAAGCTCGGGGTCTATCACAGAGAACTCGAAGCATGTGCGCTATGCACTCACATGAGGTTGAGCACCCTGCTTTAATGTGTCAGCCCACGAGGTGCATGGCCACGTGTTAGTGGCGTCGCATAGCGCAATGGAAAGGTGATCTCAGTGTGGTGGGGGAGCTGGAGGGGGGGTCCGATTTATTGCCTCTCCCATGCAGCATTCCCCACCATCAAATGTTTATTAGAGGAAGAGGCCAGGGGGACATCACGTGTGCTCCACGACACCTGTTATTTAATAGGTAGTTTATGTAACGGTTGCACTGTTGCCTTTGGTGCCTGTGGGGTGCCGTTCATTCAGAGTTCATCTTACCACCAGGTTGCCCTTCGACAATTTTACTGCATATTCAACATTATGGGAATGCACACAATTTCAAAGACAGGTATGTGTGCGTGCAGACACACAGGCACACACATTCAATATCTGGCTGGTGCTCGCACGCATTAAATTGGCAGTCGTCATTGCTGTTATCAGCAATAGCAACTGACGAAGGATAATGCAATTTAACATCTCCGATAATATAACCGAAGACTAATGCCCGTGCAGAGCTACACAGCCAGAATCAAAAGGAATCCTGGGTTCGGGATCTGTGTTACCATTCATTGACACGTTCACCAAAGACTGGACCCCGCCATAAAAATTAGGAAATTTCCACCCACCGGCTCAAAGCCATTGATAGAGATGATCACCTTCCATTACTCATTGGAGCACAGAGATGCTTTTACCAGACAGCCTCACAACTTTCTATCCTGTATTAGTTTTCCCTCGCTTTATGCAGGTTCGGTTTGTGTGATTGCACGCACACGCATGTGGCAAACCTATTTCTACCCAAAATATCGCTGTACGTGGTCCGAATTCACTCGTACGCGGCTATGCGGTCGGACGTGGGACAACATTGTCCGCGTGTACTGCGCCGCGCGCTACTCAGCAGGCAGCCGTCCCATGCGGCTTCGCTCTCTTGCGCCCTTCCCTTGGAACGCGTCGACCGCATAAATCGAGGGAAAAAACGGCCGTACAATCGCACGTACGGCCGTTTTTCGCAACGCACCATTGAATGGGGGCCTCCGCATGCCGCGCGGATTACGGGAACTATTCACCCGTAACTTGAGCACGCCGATCCATTGTGGCTTTGGTGAAGACGAGGAGAATAAACAAATGGAGTGCAGTACACAGCAATGCACTTTGATGTGGTCTGCTCTGCTCATGACGTAGCGTCCACCTACAACACCCGTTTTTTCCACGTGTTGGTTGCCCACCCTGGCACTATATTACAAAGGGAGCCATTAACCAAAATTTTGCCAATGGTAGACTATAAAATCCATGACGCCAATTTCCCTGATTACCCGCAGAGGCCCAACCAATGCAAATTTTCCCCACCAACTTCCCACCCAGCGCCTCGAGCACACACAAGCACTCACTCACACACGCACGCACCTCTTGCAGCTCCAGCCTCTGCGCCACGGCCTCCAGGCACTCTCGGCCCGTCCCCTCGGCCGACAGCGTGCACTCCACCACCGAGTCATCGAGCAGGCGGATGCGCGTCACGAAGCAGGCTCGGCCCGACACGTTGTAGCGCCTCGTCCGCTTGAGCAGGCCGAACGGCATGGCGCGCCGCTACCTCGCTCGCTTCGCACCCCGTCAGTCACCCCCCCGCCCCCCCCCCCCCCCCCCGGCGAGATCTGGCGCCCGCCCGCCGCCCCCCCCCCACCCACCCTCCCCCCCCCCCCCCCACCTGCCTCCGCTAGGCCCTCGGCTCCCCCCAGCCGTCACCACTTCAACGCTCGCGAAGGATCGGCGGAAGAGATTTCCTCGCCGCCGAGCAGACGGGCGCCCACGTCTGGTCCCCACTCATTTGTTGCGCCGAGTCGGCTCTGGGCGCGATTGCGCACGTGGCCAATTTTCAACCTTTCCTGGCAGGGGCGCTTCTGTGGCGGCTTGAATTCTTCACGAATATATACGTCGGGTGAGATGGGTTTTTTTTTATTTCCTAGAACCTTGCCTTTTTTTTTGACGTTTGCATTTCATGACTCCCCTGTCCTGCAGGGGGTTTGAAATCGGGTCCTGTTTTCCAAAGCGTCTCCGGGAAAGAAAAAAATAACCCCAATTTATTATGGCTTCGCTCCCCTTTCAGGAAAGGTTTTTTTTTTTTTTGGCGTTCGCAGGAATTTCCGTTGATGCTTGGATTTTTATTCTGCTCCTCAAGTTCCAACAGGAACCGTACGGCCTCCTGCATCCACCTATAGTGAGAGAGGCTCCATGGTGCGACGGGACGCTTTTAAGTAATACCGCTCCTCCCTGGAAGACATCAGTACGGTCTTGAATATTCCATTAGCCTGTTTGTCTTCTGTGCCGCAAGAACCTAGCAGGGGAAGAAAAAAAAACAAAAGCACAGAACGTTAAGACAGTTTACATATGGACTCTGGTCAAAAAACGGCAGCCAAAGACTAAGAATTATTTAAACACTTGTATCCACGTAGAATTCCATTTCAGCTTCGGTGAAGTGTGAAATGCAACTTGGACGTGGTTTATTTTGCTCACTGTGGGAAGATATGCCCGCCACTTATTTTTTTATTTCGCTGCAAAAATCCACGCGTTAGCGTTGGCCCTACAACGGCGAATATTTCCCGCATTAGCGCAGTTTGTACCCTGGCAAATGCATTCACAACACGATAATTTCGTTAGCAGCTGCAAAAGGGAGAACACATGCTGAAGGCTCATTAAAATACATGGCCCAATGCTTAGTCCATATGTGGAGCATCGGAGAGAGGAGGGGGGAAAAAAAGAGCCAGCCCAGACTTTCCGGGGCTGCAATGTCAAGTGGGGCCAATAGATTGTGCACGCGGAGCATGGAAAAGTGGAAATCATTTTCATTAGCTCTGCATTGCACACACAGACCGTGGACTGTTTTGTAAAAAAAAAGCTAAGCTTGCTCGCAGATTGATGGATAGATATGAATGCCAAGGGGGAAAAAAGAATCCTTAAAATACACTACTTGTTTGAGATCTGTCAATGAACCGTGCCACAAACGCTGGTTTCAAAACACGATGACCTCATTGTTACCGTGTGACAAAAAGGAACATTCAAAATGAATAAAAATACCTCCTTTATAATTGGGCCTTATTTGCAAAATGTTACAGTATTAAAGGCCACAAGCCGAGTGGAGGAGGCGTTCTGAGCACAAAGGCTTTTGGCAAAAAAAAGCATAGATGCATGAGAGGGGGCACAAGAGGGGTAGACTGGGATGTGCCCATCGGCTAAATAAATCAATAAATCCCTGGCACAATAAAATGCTGTTTGCACGTTTTCTCTCGACACCCCTACTTTTACAAGACATCTGAGAGCACGTGTTTTGAAGGAAGCGTCGATACTTAAAGAAACAGCTGGCTATTGCCTTCACACAAAAAGGGCTGCAAAACGTGCACTGTGCCTTTTGTATTTCATAAACACAATAAAGTATTCAGAAACTATTTATGCACGTCTGCTGGCTGACGGCCTCCCTTCCCCAACGCAGGTTTGGGAGGGTTTATCGAGCGTACTTCACCACGCAGGTCAGTGGAGGTTCGTGAAGGTGGAGAGCGTTGGTGTGGTGGGACAGAAGTGCAGTACAATAACAAATTTATTGAGCGCGGTTGTTCGCCCATCCAAGCACTACCCAGGCTCAACCCCCGGCTCGGCTTCATGGAGATCTTACGAGATCGGGCGCATTCCGGTTCATTTAGTCATAGGCACCGTCTGTTGCAGTAAACAGTATACGAACAGAGCATCACGATGTATCGAATCTATTTACAATTTAGAACAAGGAGTTTTCAAAAGCGCTCCGTTGTTAAAGAAGAGAGCCATGCAAAGTTTTAAAGCCCCGAGGGATGGGGGTGGAAGGGGGGGTGCTGCAATCTATAAGTGTACCCCACTTTTATTTTTGTCTGCGCTGTCGTCAGTGTGTGTCTGTGTGTGTGTCCACACCGAGTCAAACAACCTCTGCGTGAGGTCATCTGGCTTGGCCCGGTCGAGAATGTGCCCAGGCATTCAGAGACGGCCGCCCGCACTTTAAAGCCACTTCCAGAAATCCTCACCGAGTCACTCCCCGCACTCTCTCAATCACCCCCCCCCACCTTGTCCCCCACCCTCTGCCAACTCCCCCTTCACTGCACGACTTCCTCACTTGGCTGCAAACATCTCAGCAATTTCTCAGCAAACAACCCGGGGGCTCTTACTCTACCTTGCACCGGTATTCAAAACACACGCGCTGTTTTCACAAAGCAAAGCAGTGCCATTTTAATTCCGTTAACTAAAAAGTCGAGCGCGGAAACAAGAGCGCTGCGGTGGCGAGATGTTAACCACCTCGCCACCGGAGGGTCATGGGTTCCATACCGACCCTCACGCCTGTTATACAGTGAGGGAACAAAGTATTTGATCCCCTGCTGATTTTTCTACGTTTGCCCACTGACAAAGAAATGATCAGTCTATAATTTTAATGGTAGGTTTATTTGAACAGTGAGAGACAGAATAACAACAACAAAATCCAGAAAAACGCATGTCAAAAATATTATAAATTGATTCGCATTTTAATGAGGGAAATAAGTATTTGACCCCACTGCAAAACATAGTACTTGGTGGCAAAACCCTTGTTGGCAATCACAGAGGTCAGACGTTTCTTGTAGTTGGCCACCAGGTTTGCACACATCTCAGGAGGGATTTTGTCCCACTCCTCTTTGCAGATCTTCTCCAAATAATTAAGGTTTCGAGGCTGACGTTTGGCAACTCGAACCTTCAGCTCCCTTCACAGATTTTCTATGGGATCAAGGTCTGGAGACTGGCTATGCCACTCCAGGACCTTAATGTGCTTCTTCTTGAGCCACTCCTTTGTTGCCTTGGCCGTGTGTTTTGGGTCATTGTCATGCTGGAATACCCATCCACGACCCATTTTTTCAAAGCCCTGGCTGAGGGAAGAAGGTTCTCACCCAAGATTTGACGGTACATGGCCCCGTCCATCGTCCCTTTGATGCGGTGAAGTTGTCCTGTCCCCTTAGCAGAAAAACACCCCCAAAGCATGTTTCCACCTCCATGTTTGACGGTGGGGATGGTGTTCTTGGGGTCATAGGCTGCATTCCTCCTCCTCCAAACACGGCGAGTTGAGTTGATGCCAAAGAGCTCCATTTTGGTTTCATCTGACCAGAACACTTTCACCCAGTTGTCCTCTGAATCATTTAGATGTTCATTGGCAAACTTCAGACAAGCATGTATATGTGCTTTCTTGAGCAGGGGGACCTTGCGGGCGCTGCAGGATTTCAGTCCTTCATGGCGTAGCGTGTCACCAATTGTTTTCTTGGTGACTATGGTCCCAGCTGCCTTGAGATCATTGACAAGATCCTCCCGTGTAGTTCTGGGCTGATTCCTCACCGTTCTCATGATCATTGCAACTCCACGAGGTGAGATCTTGCATGGAGCCCCAGGCCGAGGGAGATTGACAGTTCTTTTGTGTTTCTTCCATTTGCGAATAATCGCACCAACTGTTGTCACCTTCTCACCAAGCTGCTTGGCAATGGTCTTGTAGCCCATTCCAGCCTTGTGTAGGTCTACAATCTTGTCCCTGACATCCTTGGAGAGCTCTTTGGTCTTGACCATGGTGGAGACTTTTGAATCTGATTGATTGATTGCTTCTGTGGACAGATGTCTTTTATACAGGTAACAAGCTGAGATTAGGAGCACTCCCTTTAAGAATGTGCTCCTAATCTCAGTTCGTTACCTGCATAAAAGACACCTGGGAGCCAGAAATCTTTCTGATTGAGAGGGGATCAAATACTTATTTCCCTCATTAAAATGCAAATCAATTTATAACATTTTTTACATGCGTTTTTCTGGATTTTCCTGTTGTTATTCTGTCTCTCACTGTTCAAATAAACCTACCATTAAAAATATAGACTGATAATTTCTTTGTCAGTGGGCAAACGTAAAAAATCAGCAGGGGATCAAATACTTTTTTCCCTCACTGTATATTTGGAGTTTGCGGTGTTCGCTCTTCCCCGTGGTCACGTGGATTTTTCTCCGAGTCCTCCGGTTTTCCCCTCCAAATTTAGAAACATGCGTTTAAGAGTATTTGGATGATATACATTTGCACGTGATAAGCCATTTCGTTCGGCTATCATTTGAACCTCATGGCCATAGTACCCCGGCTCTCGCACAATGTCCGTGATGCAGTCATTTTTAGTCTGTTGATGGTCGGCGATGCGCCAATCGACTCATCTCGACGAGCTGTTCACGATGCACTATTAAAAGTTTAATTTTTTGATAACGGATTTGTTTTATGCTAATGTTTGGCGTTTCGACAAGGTGGAGTAGCACTGCTGTCGGACTGATTGGTACCCCAGTCGCGGAGCTAAGTAACACCCCTGGAAAAAATAGTGTCCCAGAAATAAAAGATGTAATTGCCTCGGCCATTTTGATTTTTTGGTACCCCGGGGTACTGCCATAAGGATCACTTGCGGCCAGGTCTCTTCTGAAAAAGAGCTATATAGCTCAGTGGGCCTTACCTGGTAAAAAATATATATATAGTTTATTTTAGGTCCAATCCGCTCTGGAAAGCTTCTGGCCCCACTGATTTTTTTTTCATGCGCATAGTTCCTCCTCCCCACCGCCCCCCCCCCCCCCCGACAAAAAATAAAAACAAATGTGTAGATGTTAGTTCACCGTTCACAATGTGCACGACTTAGAAAGGTTATTTTTGTTAAATGTAGGAACTTTGGGTAATATAATATAAACACTTGCTAAACGATCACTTGTGGTATTTTCCATCCACGCTGTAACAAAATATTAAACAATTATTTTGATTACGCAGCGGGACAAAAATTGTTACGAGTTCTTTACAGGGCGAACAAAAAAAAGAGCCGCATTTGTTATTGCGCGCTCAACAAAAATAAGCACCAGCGTTAGCACATTGCATTCACATTCTCCAAGTTTCATAGTTTTCAGTATTTATTTGCATATTATGTTCGCAGCAAAGGCCTGATTACACCTATCCCTGCAGATAATCATTAATGGAATGCTCCAAACTGCATACCATGCCTGGTCAACACAGCCATAGTTACTCCGCAGGTGTAAAGCTTTTCATTTGGAGCATACCATTGCGCACAGGGGGTGACAAGGGTCGAGTCTTTCACAGATGCGTGCGAATAATCATCCAAATCAGTGTCATTTGTTTTCGTATAATGTACAATGGAGTGCCAATATTGTAAATATAAAATCAGATAAGATGTCAAAACACCAACTCATAAAGGTGTCCTGCCGCTTCGCCAGTCGATAAGGTATAACGGGCGGAGGTTCCAGACCTTTCTAGGACCGCGACCGCTGGCAACCCTCTCGACA